TGTTCTGATTTTTTATCATTTTGTGTAACATATTAATAATCTCACTATGGGACGTTTTGACTGACGGCACCCCATATAATATAATTATATAATGTTATTATTTTTAATTAACATTGCAAATACGAGTTGTTAAACGTCCTGTTCATCACATCCATTTATCATTCATTCATTATAACTTATCATTTATTACATCATGTCATAAATAATATAATGAATGAACAATAAATGGATGTGATAATTACCAATGAACAGGACGTTTGAAACACTGCGTGGGCGTGTCTAAATTAATTATACTTTTAAAGTGAAAGGTTTGCATTAATTTATTGTTATATTTAAAATTATATAAATTGAGTCCGGTAAGCAATAAACTTGAATCTCTGATGACAGGAACCAATCGTCCCACCATAGTAGGTCGCTATGATTCATCACCTAAAGCTTTATATCAAAATATTAAAAATATTAAACGTTGAGCAATACACGTATTTCGAAAATCGCATGGCCAATTTTAATAAAAATTTTTTATTTAAATTATAGAATTAAAATAAAAAAAAAGTTATTGAAATATATTCTTCTAAAGGTTTAGAAAGTTTTGATCATTTATTAAAGTTATACCAACTTTCAAAACTTTGGGCAAAGATATCTTGGCAACAAATTGTATGATCGAGTAAAATTTAACAATTTATATAAAATGTTATCTGAACAACCACATACAGTATATTTGTTGATTGCCAATCAGATGATCATCCAATATAAAAAACATACCCGGTACAGGTTTAACAAGCTCGGATATAATGGTGCAGCATGGCATCCATTGTAAAAAGAAAAAAAGAGATCGCGTTAGCAGATAACTTGCAAATATGACTATTCGCTTTTTAGACAATAAAACTGTTCTCAAACTACGCACATTTCACATTTCCTCGGTGGTGCATTGTATAGTCGAACTTGTTCAAAACAGTAGGATCGAATTTATGCACAAGTCGTTTTCTGAAAAGTACTTTTATATTTGACATATAAAAACATATATCAGGTCTCGACGCCATGGCAACGACAATCGAAATCCATGTTGATGTGACAAAATATTTCATACAAGTTATTGACAATGGAATTGGAATTCCACCAAGTGACATGGATAAGCTTGGTCAACGACACGGTATTGCCCTGCAACAGTTGCATTATTTACATTAGTCTTAATTATTATTGGATATCTAAATTCCCGTACATGTTGCAGCCACTTCAAAATGTCAGACATTGGAAGACTTGGCCCGTATAAAGACATATGGGTTTCGCGGAGAAGGTTTTACTTCATTAGCTTGTTTCAATAAATAGAAATTTCTTTTTAACTATATAACTAATACTTATTAATAAAGCACTGGCAAGCTTGGCTGAAGTCTCAATAATGGAAATAATTAGCAAGCATTCTGATTATTACGATACTTACTGTGTCATAATCAAGGTCCAATACGTATATCATGTTTACACATATATATTGAGTTTTTTTTTCTAAATTTTCTCTTGCTTTTTAGGGTGGGCTTCGTCTTCAATTAGGTCCAACTCGAAATAGCGAACGAGCAAAACCAGGAACTATCGCAATTATTCGTGATTTATTCTATACGGTGCGAAATCATGAAAGCGGTAATAAAATAATTATACATTTGAATTGTAACAATAACCTTTATATTTCACAATTTAGTATCCGGTTCGTAGAAAACAGCAATCTGTTAATACACTCGCGAACGAACTAGAGAATGTTAAAAAAGCTGTTGAAATACTAGCATTAATAAACCCTCAAGTGGCATTTACTCTGGTTGACGCGTCAATGGATAGTAAAATAGTTAATACGAGGAAGGTACGTGTTTCCACATATTGAAACAAGTTTTCAATAGAATTTTTATTGTCTATTAATGATACTTGATTGAAATATATTTGATGATAAGAACATTCTGCTACACAATATTATGTATTATTAGACTTCATCACCTATTCCTATTATTTCTACATTCCGGCAGCTTTACGGCGCTTCTTTAGCACAGGTATGTTTGGAAGTACAACTGAAACACGTGACCGTATATATGTATCCATGAGTGCACGTATGTAATGCTATCAAAATTTTGTTGTAGAATCTTGAATCGGTTTATGCAGAAGAAGACGACATTAGGATTGATGGATTCTTTTCATTAAAAGGCTTACATATAAAGGTATATCCTAATTACTTTACTGACTTGAATTCGATTCCATAGTACATTTGTATTCATAAATTCAATTTCTTACAATTAAAGAACCATCAATATTTCTGTGCGTATTTTTGATGTAATATTACAATATTCATATGCGTGTCTTCTGATTATTCGTTTCAACATCAATAGACGTCAATAGGCGTTTCATTGCTAATAATGAGTTGTATAAACTAATCGATGATTTATTTAACCAAAGTAACTTTGGAAAAAAGGTAAGATTCATATTTTTATCATAAGATGTACATCTCGCTTTTTAATCGTTATGTGTATGTTTCACTAGCCAAATGATGATTTGATTTCAAAATCGAAAACTGAATTTTCAGGCAAATCGAGTGAGTTGAAATTATTGCAAAAATGTTTGTTACTCAATTTTTCTAATGTAAATTATTTATTTTTAATAGGGAAGAATGTATTAACAAAGTCGTTGGAAAAATATCCTATTTTCTTTATTCATATTACTTGCCCAACGGAGAATTATGATATATCTTTGGATCCAGCTAAGAATATAATAGAATTCGAGGTCATTTTAGAATGCCAAAAAAATTCATTCCTTTATGCTTAAATATTTTATTCTGATGTTGTTGATTTTTTAGAACTGGCCAAAAATCTTAGATCTTTTATCCGGTCTTGTGACTCAATTTTTATTATGTCATGGGTTTTTAACGCAAGATATAGTGACGTCAAACGTGAAGAATTTTACCGATACAACAAATAATCATAAAAAGTCAAGAATTAGACCCGGGCACAATTTACCATTGTCATTTGAGGACATAACACATATAAAAAGTGGTGGAAAGAAACAGTATGTTTTTAGAGATGAGGAACTGAAAGCTGGTCTATCGATACCTAAAAATACGAAAGATTCTGAAAATATTTTGGCTACTTCAAAAAAGACTGTGAAAATAAGAGAAAATGAATATACAAAGTGGACAGAGCCTCGTACCAAACAGGCATTTTATATAGACACGCGCACTGGAAATTCGTGAGTAACATTATCTCATCATTTGAAGTTCTTGTTTATACAAAATTCATAGCACTTACACATACTTACACATGTACATTATTGTAGATATATAAATATACCTGGGCAGATTCAATCCACGTCAGAAAATTGTACAAAAGCAAGAATAGACCGAAGCAGATTACGTACATCGAACTATAAAGACACCACTGGCGGATCACACGCAACACCGTGGGCAAAAAATGCATTAGAGGTATTAATAGAAATTACTTAAGATTGTTTATAAGAAACCTTTACTAAAAGAATTTGGTACAACAAATAGAAATGGGTTAATCCTGTTTTTCAAAGTTATGAAGCACCAATTCCCTTGTTAAGACACATATCGACGTGCAATAAACAATCGTCTGTAAGGAGTAGCTTTTTTCCTTGTAATAATTTTGCACAGTCATGTTTTGTTGAGCATCGTTTCAGCAAGAAAGATTTCGCTCAGGCTCAAGTCATTGGTCAAGCTGATGATAAGTTTATCGTTTGCAAACTATCATATTCACGAGTGGTCGAGTCGGATAATAAGAACTTCACTCAGCAACAGATATTGGTTTTGGTTGATCAACATGCAGCAGACGAACGTGTACGTGTTGAAATGCTAATGAAAAAGTTTTGTGATTTTAAGAACAAGGAACAGATACAAAATGAGAATAACAACGAAATTCATCAAATAAATTCCCTTGTCGAAACAATTCAAATAAATCCTCCCAATAAAATAATTTTAACGGAACGGGAGGTTCGAGTTTTGAAAAGATTCGAAGCTAATTTTAATAGTTGGGGAATCTTTTTTAGCGATAATATTGATACAAAACAGGATAATCCATCACTTTCGTTGGTGTCTCCACACTTTATCACATCGTCAAATGATGATGACCATATCCCTATTTATGTTACCCATCTTCCTAAAATGATTGCTGACCGTTGTGTATTTGATTCACGAGTAACGCAAGAACTCCTACGCCAACATTTGTATTGGTTGGAAGACACTGGTGGAATTGGTATTAATAATTTAGGCGAAAAGAGTCTCGACACCAATGAACAAAGTGATTGGAAAACAATGATAAGACAATGCCCGAGAGGAATAATTGATATATTGAATTCGAAGGCTTGTCGAGGTATTTATTAAAATGCATCAAATAACCAATTTACAAGCAGACCCTAATAATTATGTTAATTGAAGGTGCAATCAAATTCAATGACAAACTGACACTAAATCAATGTCAAGAATTAATATCAGAACTTGCGTTCTGCGATTTTCCATTTCAATGCGCGCATGGCAGGTAATCCTTTATCTCTTATATAATGCAGTTTATTGGTTTATAAACTATTTTTCTAAAACAACCTTTTACTTTTGTACCGTTGAACATATAAGGCCTTCCATGATTCCCATTATATATTTAGATGAATTTGCAAAAACTACACAAACCTCTTGTCGTTATGAATCACAGCTTAAACATAGATTATATAAAACAATCAAACAATCAGAAAACATTTTTGATCAACCTGTAAATTTTAGTTGGAGAAGACGCAAAATTAATTTGGAGCAGTTTCGAAAATAAACCCATTTTTATTTAATCTTTTATGTTAATATAATGGAGGTCATAATCCTGTACTTATTATTGAATGTATCTAAAATAATACAATTTATAAATTAATTGATTGTTTCAGGTGAGAAATTTCGATGACATTTGAAAGTATATATTAACAATTAAGTCAGTACTAAATTACAATGTTAAGATTAATTCTACTAATTCTTAGAATTTCTTGAAAAAAGAATGTCAACAAAATCACAAAGGTTATCTAACAAATTATGTACTATTTACAGACACCCAACACGAATTTTCATCGCCAAACGTGTGAATGTAAAAAAATGGAATAATAAATTTATGTAAAGATTAATCAAGTAGCATGATTTAAACGATATGGTTGAACCTCGCTTTCACGCTCTCCTGGATTGCGACTCCAAATTTCTTCAGGCGAAAGGTCATTTTTATAAGCAACTTTTGAAGAAGCTGAGGAATTATCATCCATATTGACAAATCGTTTTTGATCACTTTGTTGCCACTTTGTTGCTTGTTGCTTTTGGACAGTCGTATTTAATTTAGGTTGTGGTTTACGTAACAATGGTCGCAAAACGTGTTCAAAAAGTAAAGTAGCACCTTTTGATTGATCATTTTGAGCCCAGTATAGAAATATTAATTTGAAAAAATTATAACCCGGTAACAAGCTAAGAAGTCTAGTTGACCAATAATCGGCTATTTGAAGCCATCCATAAACAGTCCAATAAGTTAACCACTGTTTTTGTTCTTCAATTAATTCATTTTCATTTGAAGGTAGTTGATGAATGACTTTGATTGAACGATAAGCAGGATAAACCACACCAACTAAATTACAAAGGAGATAGACCGAATTTTTGTACATGTGCCTCATCGTTAAACTTGAAATTATAATAAGAATAATAAAGAGATAAAATGGGGATACACCCAGCTTTACAAGCCGTGAAAATAACCAAGTTTTCATACATTTACGTTCTATAAACGAAACACGCGTCACGAAAACTTGCCGAATGACATCAGTTACAGGAACAAGATTTAAAGGACTATTGGATTCAATTTCTGTTAAGACTTGATCCAAAAAAGCGGTTGTTGGTAAGTCTTGAGGTGCGAGATCTTGGTTCACATCGGTTTGCATCGTTCTTAATAGTGTCTTCTAATAACAATGATCGTGTGAGGCTTTACAACAAGTTTAGGCATCGAGTTATTTGATCTTTAATTTTGTGGTTAGTGTTACAAACTACGCAAATTCTTGTAACAGTATATCAGGTATCGGTATGATTTAACACACGATCATTAACTAATAAAAACCAATTATTTTTTTTTTTTTCTACATGTTCTTTTTACCATACTTTCTTTTAGGCTTTAAACTTAATGCCCTGACCGATTGTTACTTTTCGATTATTATTATTATGATAAATTTCTTAACCGCTTATTCGATTGGCCGATTTTACAGCTGTTTTCGTAATCTAAAATTTTTTCTGATAACAGTTACTGAGTCGGGATTAATCATAAGTTACTTGTTGTGATCATCCAATCAAAATCGAATTACTATAATATACTAGGCATTAAATGCCGGGAACGAGTGTCTTCTATGCTAAGCAGAAATCAGAAACTTATCGATTCATTTCTTTTCACTACCGGCTGTTTTCATTTTCGGTACCCCTGGTAAAAAATTGACCGAATGCTTGTTTTGCCGATTCAATAAAATTTTGATTCGACTATGTAGTAATGTATATTATCTTTGTCGATATTGTACCTGCAAATCCTGTTCCTATATGATATCGGTAAATGGCCTGTAGAAGAAATAATTCTCGAGGAATTGTACGACAACGAATTTCTTTATAAATAATTTTATGAAAAAACAAATTTTATGAAAAAAAGTGGCGTTTTTTTTTTACATAGTATCCATGGTATTAGTTGTATAAATATTTTAGTTGCTAATCATTTCACCTGAAATATATTTATTATTTGGTTCTTAAGCTCTTAGAGCATGAGTGATCAAATACAATTTAACTTTATGAAAGTGATATTTTATATGGGTAATTATCCAATATACCCTCTGCATTATAATATTTCCATTGAATTTGAAAATATTCAAAAATTGCACCTAACGATAAAATTTCATTATCGGACCAAGATTGTGCATTTATCGTAATTTCTTGATGCCCATGAAAATTCTTGGACGCAGTATGATACAACCCGTCAATGCATCTTTTTACATCATTAAATCGAAGGTGGTTTTCATCACATGTTTTTTGTAAGAAATTCATGAATTTTTTATCTTCAGAAAGTCGTAATAGTGTTTTGTCAAATGGTTCTTCAAAAATTGAAGGATTACCATTTGACCAAATCTATTACGGAAAATGAAAAAAAATATTGAAATTTGAAAATTAAGAACAGCGAAAGAGAATAGAACCTTTACCTTCGAGCGAATGAATTCAAGCGCACCTCTAACACTGCACATGTTTTCTGTACGCAATTTAGATTGCTTGCACTTTTTAATCTCCCACTGAGCATTTTGATTTTCGGCTTCTTTTATTTTGACTATCTCTAATTTCTCAGCTTCAGATGTTTTAATTATTACCAATTTCTCAGTTTCAGCTGTTTTCATAATTCTCTCAATTGTTGATGTTTTATCAACGTCCTTTAAATTCATAATCTCCATTACTGTTTTCTATTTTTCAGTCTCCATTTTCTTTACAAGATCGAAAATTTTATTTCTTATACTATTCGTGACATTTGGATCATGAATTTCAGTTAGGTCAACATAATCAGGTATACTTTCTTCATCGGGTATATCATTTGATAAGAGGTTTTCAGTATGAATATGTTCATGTTTTCTTTTTTTTATATTCTTTTCGATACTTGGATTGATTTCCTTAAGGATTTCATTTTCTTTGTTACTCTACAATGTACAATAAATAAATAATAAATTAGTAAATATTTTTAAGTAGATATATGATAAACGTAAGTTCTTTATAATAAAATCATAGTCAATTCCTTCTTTAGAATTGACAGATCTTATTTAAAGAAACTTCATTGACTTATATTCTTTGTGGGGCCAGAATGATCACAGGTTGCACAGAGTACCCTTGGATAACCTCACAAAAGAAATATTTTTCATTTTGTGGACCGATACAACATATGAAACAAACGGAATTATTCTTGCGATTTGTTTTGTATGATACAACCTTTTCACTGTATCAAACAAATTGTTTGAATAATCTCACAAAAGAAAGTTCAAAAGAAAAGGTGTTTATCTAATATTATAAAGATCTATCTGAATTTGTTCTTTTTTCTTACGAGCTTTTTTATTTTTACGGCTTTGAACAAACATTTTTAAAATAAAATCAGTCAAAATAATTTGTTTATATACTAATTTACAAATTTGGAGTTCTTAAAGATTAAAAAGTCACGTTTTTGATGTTTTTATTTTTATTTTTTATAGCATTTATCTAAGAATGTCAAGTGACGTGATTTACCTTTTTTAATACATTAGGATTAGTAGGTTATTTAAATATCAAGAATACAATTTATGCAACATGTAGATCAATATATAAAAATCTGTTTCACTTTGAGCTTTAAAATTTGAATACGCGTATAAACATTTTTGATATGATCTTCATAATGTTCAAATAGATGTATCAAAAAAGTAACTAATTTTGTTCAAATTATATCAAAAACATAATTTTATTATAGGTTATATCTACAGTTGTTAGGTGAATTCTAGCTGCTTCATCAAAAAAAAATTAAAAAGACCAAGTGTCAAAACTGATAAAACTAGTGTAGTGATTGACTATTGTAAATATATACAGGATGAAGTTGTAGTAGTTTACTTTATTACACAGCAACAGGCAAACGGTTTGAGATAGTAAGAGTATATAAATTAAACTTTTTATTAACAATCATTGGTTCAAATTTTTTAATATAAAAGACTGATATAAAAAAGATAGTTAGATGAAATATCAGAATACAAATATTCAAATATTATATAGAAGAAATTAGGCTAATTAATAAAAACAACAAATTATCAATTTAAAATTATAGAATAATATTATGATATTATACTAAAATTTAAAATTTAAACTAAAATAAAGATAATATAAGATGATTAATATAATTATTAATAAATATTGAATAATACTAACAAATAGTTTAATGATTATATAAATAAAGAAATGATATTAAAATAAATAATATAATTATATATATATAATTAGACCAATATAAATCATATTTAAAAAGATAATAATCAATAAATATTGATATAAAAAATTATAAATAATATTATACAAATATATAAAATTTTATTATAAAAGCTTAATATTAAAATAATAGTTTAATAATTAATTTAAGGGTGTGGTAACTTAGTGAAGTAGATAAGTTGTCATACCCCCAAGTGGTAGGTTGTGAGTTCAAAATCTACTAATGGCGAAATTTGGATAATCACCTATGTAATATATAGACAGTATTACGGCGACGGCATTCTGTCGATCAGTTGGGATAAGATATCTGTAACTATGGTCACACCAGCATGACTGGCAGGTTTGGGGCATCTGTGTAACCTGTTACACAAAGGAATACAAACCGGTACTGGGCAGTGCAAACCTAAAATAAGTCCTCGGGTCATGTAAATCCATAGAACTAGGAAGTCAGAGCCCACTTGGAAATTCCGAGCAAAGAGGTAACACAGATTTTCGATGGTACTATTGTAAAGGCTAGACCTAGGAAATAGATACTAATGTAAAGAATTTGAGCAGGCAAGAACCTCAGGTGAGAGGTATCACCAATCAGGCCACCGGATTTTAGACCAGAGAAAAAGGATATTAGACTGGCTTCAAGATAGCAAGGACAGGTCACAGTCCTTATGGGCTATCTGGATGGGGAGTCTTGGTTCAAAGCAGGAGGCCCCCTGCACCTTACTGGCAGGTGACATACTCTGAAATGTGTAATGGCCTGGAACGAGTACAAAAAGGGTAGGTACCATACTGCTCAGACGGTATATCAGTTAGATATATACGGGGGGTTAGTTGGAGATTCCAATATGACAGGGCGGATGATCAAAGGGTTTAAATAGATAATCTCCTAGTAGGTTATAGGTACAGCACCTAGTGTAAAACCTTAGGGTGGACTACTTAAATAGGCAACTAAAAGTTGCATGTGTGACTAGCTATACTCTCATCTCTGTAAAAATAGTTGTAATAGCTAACCCAATATAAAGTCAATAAAGTATCGCCACAAGTATGGCTTTTAATACAAAAAAAAAAAAATAAAATAATAATAATTAATTTAGTTTACTAAATTTATTAACTAATAGATTATTAATTATATAATTAATACAAAAATATAAAAATAAATAACAAAGTTATATATATATATATATAACTAGATTAATATTTAATATATTTATAATAATATATACTAATAAATTACAATATAAAAACTTTCTCAAGATATTAAACCAATATATAAAATTTTATTATATAGGCAAAATATTATTAAGATATATAGTTGAGTTATTTAGTTTATAATTTTTATTAACTAATTATCTAACAAATATATAAATAACTAGAAGATATTTATATAATTATAAAAGTATCAGTATCAAGATAAGTATCAGTTATTTTTTTGATATTTTGATATTTTTTTTATTTTTTACTGATATTTTTTTCTTTTTTTATAAATTTTATACTTTGCCAAAAAAGATTAATAGAGTCAGAATTTAGATCTTAGAATTAGAACTGATATCAAGATAAGTTCTAGTTATTTTTTTAGTGTTTTGTCTTTTTTTTTTGTTTTTTACTAAGTTTTCTTTCTTTTTTTGCAGGTCTTGTGCTTTACTAAGAAAAGTTAATAATCTGAAATTTAAATTTTGAATCTAGATCTTAGATCTAGAACTGGTATCAAAATAAGAACTAGTTTTTTTTTAGTTTATTATTTTTTTTTGTTCTTTATTAAGTTTTCTTTCTTTTTTTATAGAGCTTGTATTTTATCAAAAAAAATTAATAGAGCTAGGATTTAGATTTTAGATCTAGATCTTGAATCTAAAACTAATACTAAGATAAGTACTAGTTATTTTTTTGATGCTTATTATTTTTTTTTTTGTTTTTTACTAACTTTTTGTAGGTCTTGTACTTTATTAAGAAGGGTTAATAGAACTAAGATTTAGATTCTGGATCTAGATTTTAGATCTAGAACAGGTACTAAGATAAGGATTAGTTTTTTTTTAGTATTTTGTTGTTTTTTTTGTTTTTAATTAATTTTTTTCTTTTTTTATAAGTTTTATGCTTTATTAAAAAGAGTTAATAAAGCTAAAATTTAGATTTTGGATCTAAATTTTAGATTTAAAACTAGTATTAAAATAAGTATTAATTATTTTTTTGATGTTTTATAGTTTTTTTTTGTTCTTTACTAATTTTTTTTTATAGGTTTTGTGCTTTATTAGAAAAGGTTAATAAAACTAAGATTTAAATTTTAAATCTAAATCATAAATTTAAAACTGATATCAAGATAAGTGCTAGTTATTTTTTTGATATCTTGTTATTTTTTTTGTTTTTTATTAATATTTCTTTTTTTATAGATTTTATATATTATTAGAAAAAATTAATAAAATCAAAAAAATTTAGAATAAAGCATAAAATATTGGGTTATAGCATAGTTATAAAAGTATCTATTTAGGTTATAATATAATGTAAAAAGAATATTATATATAGAAATATTTAATATATAATTAAAAATTTTTGATAAAATTTGTTTAATAAAATTATATATTTTAATATATATTAAATATTAATTTTTTTTTTTAGTATTAAGATGACCTCTTGGATCTTTTGACTTTATTTAATAATACTAAATATAGTTTATTAAACTACTACAGAAAAAGCATATAATTGGCTATATATTTAACTTTTCTATATTATCTATTTAAGAAATTTACTTAAAGGTTTTTTACCAATTGTTATACCTAATACTCCTGCTTGGATATTCTACTTTAAACTTTTTGAACCTGTAAATCTGTTAACTTTACTGAATTATATCTAATATTTAAATTATTGTCTTAATCTTAGGACTATTTTATCTTCAAGATAAATCTTTTAGAGCCTTCTGTATCTATTTTTATAGCTTATCTAAGTATTACTATAGCAGAATCAATACTTATAGTCAGAACTTAATTATTAAACTGCTATATTCTTGTAGAGTTCACTTAGATCCCAGTATCTACTTCATAGTATAATCCTAATACTTTAGTATACCTTTGTCTTTTTATCAAACTTCCAATCCAGATAGCTTGTATAGAACTATGTTAAGTCTATCAGTATATTGGATTAGCCCAATATTCTTTTCCTCTAGTTCATTCTGGTGGCCTAGTTGGTGGAATCTTCAAGACTTCTAACTTGGAGGTTCTTGCCTGTCTGGCTACTATGACCAGATACTATAACCTTGGTATATGTTTTTCTAAGCTAGCCTTTACAGTAAGACTGTCAAAAATTCAGTTATCTTTTTCTTTAGGTTTTTTTAAATAGACTGTTTGTTATCCAATTTCAATAGATTTATATAGCCACAAGAACTTATCTAATATTTGCATTGTCTGATTTGTTAGTTTGCATTTCTCTATATAATGTTATATTTACATATATGTCCCATAACCTGTCAGTCATACTGGTA